AATCGCGTCCAATATTCGATCTCGAAAAGGTCAACCGATATCAATCGAATCATCTAAAAATTTTACAATAACAACAAGAGATTCAAACGGAAAAGTTACTAGCAGATTAGTTTTAGGTAAGTTGAAACGATTTCATATCGCGACGACGACAACGACAACGACAACAACAACAACAGCAACAAAAAATAAAATAAATAAAAAAAAATCGTTTAATTTGATACATTGAAAAGAATAAAAAAAAAAGAAAAAAGAAAAAAAGAAAAAAAAGTCAAATCGTTGAAGGTAAATTGAGAGTGAAGAAAGAGGAGAGTGGATGAAAAGTGGAAGAGAGAGAAAGAGAGAGAGAGAGAGAATGGTTAACAACGACCACTTGTTGATCTTTTTTTTTTTTTTTTTTTTTTTTTTTTTTTTTTTTGAAGAAGATCACACGGAAAGCGTTTGAATAGAATTCATATAACTCGAATATTGATTAACTCTTTCCTTTTATTTATTTTCTTCTTCGTTTTTCACGGTAAAATTCCCTCGTTCTTTCTCTCTCTCTCTCTCTCTCTTTTATTTGAAAAATTTTACATGCATTCGTGTGTAATTACGTGTGTGTGTGTGTGTGTGTGGGTTTGTATGTCGCATTAAACAAATAAGGAACATTTTGCATTTTACAGATAAAGATAAATTGGAATGCCTTTCGAAAAGCTTTCAAATATTAAACGGAAAAGGTTCGGTACTGTTTTCAGCCAACGACGATGAAATTGTCGTCGGAGCGGAAGTTTTAAGAGTGACAGGTATTCAATTTTTTTTTCGAATCATTTAAAAGGACCTTCTCTTCATTTTTTATTATTATTATTACTATTCGTTTCAGGTGACGGTGGAGCAATTTTTGACGGAAGCGTTCAAACTCCTTTGATAAAAGCAGCGTCAGGAAGTGAACTCAAGTAAGTATTTAATATTACTTTCCAATGTTTATTTTTAAAACTAAAAACTTTCTTTACAAAAAAAAAAAAAAAAAATGGAAGGAAGGCGCGGGATCCCCACCTTTAAAAATACGATACGTATATATATTATTAACCGTTAAATTTATTTTTTTTTTATTTTGACGTTTTAATAAATATTACAAAATCTTTTATCAAAAAAAATTTGATTTAAAAAGGTGCCAACATTTGAAAGTTATTACTCGTTTTGATATACGTTTATATATATGAAAACCAAATATATATCTTAACTCGATGAAACGATAAACTCCGAAAAAAAACAAACAAAAAATACGCAACAGTGCGTACGTACGTATACGTATACATATTTATTTATTTGTACGAGTGTAAATAAAAAACGTTTATATTCATAAATCATTTTAATATTCGTAACAAATCATAAAAAAACAAAAAAAAATGTGACATTTACGATATAATGTAAAATAATATCCCGTAATGAAAAATAGTGTTTTAATAATTGTGCTCGTGTTATCATCATCATCATCATCATCATCTCTCGCGTCGAAATAGATTGAAAATGTTATAAAGAGAGAAAACTTTAATTAGCCTTCGAGCAAATTGCGTTTGTTTTAATGTACAAAAACGTTTTTTATTTTTTATTTTTATTTTTTTACTAAACTTTTATTTTTATTTGTTTAATATTTTATTACACACACACACACACACACACAAAAACGAGGGAAAACCGCCATTACGATGTAATCGGTCGGTCACTTTAACCTTTCACGTTATTTAAATTTGTTCTAGGAGAAAAAAATAAAAATAAAAAAAAAAAAAAACGTGGGAGTAGATGAGAAAATGGTCATTTTCGCGAAATTTTTTTTCACTTGAAAAATAATAATGTTAAAAAATTATCATTATTATTTCTCTCTCTCTCTTTTTCCGCCATAATTTCAATTAATTACTTACAAACAGGATATTACGATTGTAGGGAGGGAAACAAAAAAAAAAAAAAAAAAAAAAAAAAAGAATGATCGTCACGAATGGATTTTTAAACAAAATTTTTTTTCCTTAAATCACCGGAAATTTATTTTTCGAATCTTCCCCGCACAAAAAAGTTGTACGAACAAATTTTTTTTTATTTAAAAAAACAAAAAAAAAAAGGAACGAAACGATTGTAATTAAAATTATTATTATTATTATTTTTACATTAGTTTCAAATTTAAAAAAAAAAAAAATATTTTTAATTTTGTTTTAATCAACCCTTTTATCAACCCTCTCTTCGTGTTTTTTTTGTATCAGAAAGAAATTTTACGTAATAAAAATAAGTTAAAGATCGTAAGGAATGAATGAAAGAATGAATGAATGAATTCGACACAAACAAACGAATAAATAAATCGGGAGATTTTACGGTACAAAAAATATTACCGAAAGACAAAAAAAACGAAGAAAAAAAATTAATCGTATTGAATTTTACACATTGCAACAGCAATTAAAATGATAAGAGATAACAGTCAAAAAAAAAAAAAAAAGAAAAACAAATTTTGATGGTTGGAAAATAAAAGACGTTAATGAAAAAATATGATGACGATTAAAAAAAAAAAAAAATTTTTTTTTCTTCCCGAAAGAAAAAAAAAAAAAACTCACGTTATATTTTCTTAAAGTTTAATTAAAACTGGAAATGAAGGGAACTAATTTGTGAGTGAAAGAAAAGTTTTTAGTAAAGTGTAATAAAATTTGGGCATGGAAGAATAAGGGGGAATAGGGATAAGAAGGGAAAGAGAGAGAGGGGGGGAAAGGTGGGAAAGAAAAGAAAAAAGAAAATTGTAATATTATTTTCGATAATATCACTCACCGCCGCAAAACTTCTTTTAAAAAAAATTCCCCATTTTTATTTTTTCCTTTGTAAATTTTGCTTTTTTTTTTTTTTTTTTTTTTTTTTTTAAACTCCAGACTGGAATCACCGACGCGGTCATTAGAAATGAAAGCTCCATTAGGTGTAGCCATCGAATCAAGAGCTGGAGATATAAGTGCTTCTTGTTTAACAGATTTAAAACTTCAATCATTAGACGGAGCGGTGAGAATATCAAAAAAAAAAAAAAAAAATTTCCCCCCCCCTTGCTTTTTTTTTAATAATTAATTAATTAATTAATTAATACATCAAAGAGAAAAAAAATGATTCGAACCATTCCCCCCTCCTTCCCCTTCCCCCTCATCCAACTCCTATTCTTTTTTTTTTCGACTTACTACTCAAAGGTAAGTTGTAAAAAAAAAAAAAAAAGGATTTTTTTTTAAATCTTAAACATTATTATTATTATTTTATTTACTTTTTAAAATTATAAAAATCTTTTTTTTTTAAAGTCATTTCGTTCCTCAAAAAAATAATTAATTAAAATTTTAATAATTTATTATTTTATCATCATCATCATTATTATTATTATTATTTGATTTGGTTTTTTTTTTTTTTTTTGCAGATTCGATTAGATTCGGAAAATGTTTATTTTTCCAAATTACGTAAAGTTA